ATAATTGTATACTTTGAGACCGTTTACTTTTGATACAAAGAGGTCACAATCATTCTTGGCCCTTGGATGTCAAATCCAATGGATTAAAGTGTGTCGCAACATTCAAGAAATTTATTTTGAACTTTGTGCCCAACCAATGACACATCCTCAACCACCCAATTTCCCATCTAATGGTCAATAATGATTGTGATCTCTTTGTACTCAAAATAAATGGTCTTATTGTATACATTTTCTTATATATGTATATATGATTGACCTCATTGGAAGAGATGTGCCAACATTTAGCCGCATAGCACAACAGCCAACCCTAGCGCATTGAGTCTGCATCTTGCATTTGATAGCCTCCCATACATCAAACCTGAGGGGCCTTTATGATAACATTGGTATGTGCAAAATGTGATGGAGATGCCTTCACATGCCATGGCTGTTAGTCAAACAATATAACTCAATTCATTGTTGAACTTCAAGTGCCCATTGTTTGGGACAGCCCAAACCTCTTTGTCCCATATTTTAAGTCTAGAGCAGTACCATATAGTCCTTTTGTAAATTCTCATTGGACACATCCTATGTTTTTTGTCCTTCATTAGGTGTTCTGTTATTTCTCTGTTGGTATTATTACTTAGTGAACCTCTCAATTATCGTCCCTTTGAACTTTGAACCCATTTTATTACATGCTCTATTTATTTTAATTCTCATTTGTTTTTTTTTTTATTGATAAATTGTGTTTCATTAATATCAAAATCGATGTACGGGTAAGGTTCTTTTTTCAAAACCGAGTCTATATACCCCATACTTTACAATTGACTGCACATGATTTGTGACTTCTCTCTTGATGAGTGTTAAATCAGATTGGATTTGCTTTCTTGCCGATGCATCTGCTTCTCTTTTTGAATGAGATAGTGTTACCCTTTACTTGGTCCTATGGTCCAAAATTTCTTCAAAATTTCATTGTTAGCCTACCAAGGACAGTTTACCAGCCACTACACCATGCTATGACATTGAAGGGGTCCCTTCTATGAGGATTTATTTCTTTCTCATCTCAAAAATTTAGACCAATGAGAGTGACCTGATCTCTGCCCCATTTGAACTTAAGGCATCGCGCTCACCGTAGTTATCGAGATTGGTAGTGATGTTTGATCCTAGATCGGGATCGGGATCGGGATCGGGATCAGGGTTGGGACCATGAGATCAAGAGATACACAAAAATCCGTGGGATAGGGATCGAGATACGTACACTGCAGGTTAAAGGGATCATGATCCCAATATGAAAGGAGCACGATCCAAATTTGTCCATGATTGAATGTTAAAGTATACTGGATCGAGTTCTGTCTAGCTTAGAACCATTTTTCAGAAGAAGGGTACTCTAGCTAGGTAATGAAGTCCGTTGAACGATATTATTGGTGTTTTTTCTGAAGTCAATATACAAAGAATCCTTGATTTTAAAATAATTTTAAATTTTTTGTTATCTTTGAGTGTATTTCATAAATGAGAAGTGACTAATCCCAAAATGAGGATTCAAATTTCAGTCATCAGGCATGAAAGAAGCTTTAGCGTATGGAAATGCGGTGTCCTTGTTTTCCCACATTTGGGTCCTTTCATTTACATGCGATTGGACGTGCAACTGGTCAAATGCTTTCTAGATTTAGAGGAAAAAACAGGTCCAAAGGCAAAGATTGGTCAACCTACAATAGTCTCTGTAATGGTGGATATGCTTAATGGTGGCAGAAGATGGGGGTGGTGAGTGCATGAAACTTGAAAGGTGTGGGAGATCTTTGGTACCGATGTAAAAGAACCTCGATTCCACGTTAGTAAGGCTCGATTCCACTTATTCATGGACCCATGATTTGGATGAAAGGGATATGGATCCCATTAACCAAGGGTCTAGATTCCCAAATTTGTGGATTGAGATCCCTAAATTCAAAAAATGTTTGGAATCGAGATCCCTTGTCTTGGAGTGCAGGATCAAGCTTCCAGAGCTAGGGCGACAAACCGCTTTCTTGGGAGATCCAGGAAACTATGAGCTGACCAAAGTAGGTCATTAAGATCTTGCCTTGGTTGTCCCTGATTAGGACACCTATCTAGGCAATCCCTGGGTTTCCTCAAGAGCTATTGTCAAAATAATTTTTTAACAACCTTTATTTTTTTATTTTTTCCATTAGTAGAACAAAACCCCTATTTGGGCGATCTGCCTCTACAAAACATACCCAGGGAGCAGGTTGAGTGGCTCAAAATGGCTTCATAGTAGTAGAGATCTATAAGGACAGTGGTTGGCCTAGGTCACTATCAGCCTTTGGGCCCAGATGGTTCCCTTGTTGCTTTGTTTATAAAATTTTGGGATATTCATGCCCTTGATATATTAGCATTCTTGTTGGAGTCTTTCATAGAGATATCATTTATTGAGGAATCAATTATTTCCTCCACACAAGGTTTTCGTCCAAGGCCATCAAATTCTAGATTGAGCATTGATTGTATGAATGCATCCACACTAGGCACTAGACAAGGACCCATGGTCTTGTTCTAAAACTTTACTGGGATAAGCCTTATGACCATTTTGGACACAGTGCTATTTATGATGGGTGTCGATGTCTGTTAGGGGACATGGATCATGGGTTGTATCTCCCCATGGTTCTTGGTCAATTACCGTAATGGCGGAGATCTTTAGCAAGTCTATCTCTAGTCTCGTCAACAACAAGCTTTCTTCAATATTTTTAAATCATCTTGAAGGGGCCTGTTCAACTATAAATAGGGCAGGATGGCAGACCAAGATTCGTGCAGCCACTCCAATTAGTTGGGAAAGGCTTTGACGATGATGACGAGATGACTATAGTCTTTTGCGATGCAATCCCCAAACAAGTTGACCACTTATGGCTGTTTCTTGCGTGCTTCCGAGTTGTGACTGTCTCAAGATTAACATGGTGAGAACTATCCTATTGGGGGTCTATGTCAAGCGAAGTACTGTTTCGAAGTTCGCCAAAAGAGTGGGATTGGCACTGTGCCCCTCTGCATCAAGTATTTGGGCCTCCCACACGGTAGTGATAACCCTTGCAAGCCCCAACATCCACAACAGATAAGCGGTTTGAATGCCACGTAGCTGCTTGGAAGTGTAGGTTTCTGTCTCTCGGAGGTAGAACTGGTTTAATCAAAAGCTGCCCTTTCAAGTATCTTAGTATTTTAGATGCTTTGCTTTTGAATGCCCTCGGTGGTGATCAATCATCAAGAGTGGTTAGTGACGAGCATTTTATGGTTAGATATAGGGGGATCACACGAGTTTCATGTAGCTAACCGGGACATAGTCTGCAATGTCAAACTTCCTTTTCCAATAAAACATTGGGACAGTGTGCAAACCCATTAGAAGTGAGGTGTAGGTATTAGAATCTGAGGGACTGTGACGCCGCCCTTATCGGCAAGTGATGGTGGCCGTGTCAACAGAACTATGGGATAGATGATTTGGGCTGGTTATCAAAGGGACAT